TGGGACCGGCCCCCCCCCAATTCAAGGTACCCCCCCGGCCTCGGCCCCACGGCTCGGTCTGGGCGCGCGAAGCGCACCTCGCCCCAGCCTCCAGCCTCCGGCGGCGCCCGGAGCCAAGTGCCCGAGCTTTCCCGAAACTCCTGCTCGCCCCGCCGCCCGCCCTCCCGGCTGTCCGCCTCCCCGCGCCCGGGCTCGGGGCCTCGGGGCCGGCGTCGTCCGCTCCACGGCCGCCCCAGCTGCCCTGCGGGTCCGCCCCCGCTCCGTCCTAGTGGGCGGGAGTCTCACCCTCGGTCACCCCCACTCTCTCCTTCTCCCTTAAATAACGTTAACAATGTGCACCGGTATTTCAGAAGGGGGTGCAGGGTGCATCTTTAACTGGGAGAGCCTCTGCAAACAACTGCCGGACTTTACCCCTCTTTTGGATTAGCAGGCTGGGGAGGTGGCTAGGAAGCAGGAGGACTGATTTTCAAAGAACAAAATTTGGCCAACGCGCTCCATTATTGTTTCACAGACTTTTAGTTACAAAGAAAAATGTGATAAATCAAGAACGACACCTAATGTATAATAAAAATACGCCTTTGTATCAGACAGCTGTCCCGGAATTTGTTTAGAATTCGAAGTTTGAATTGACCACAGTTGTGTAGAACGTTCTTTACTCCTTTCAGATTTTGGGGTTGTAATCACTGAACCTTGAAAACAGCTTGTAGGAAACAGTCTTCAAGTGTTGGCGGCGGGAATGTCACCAGGTGTTAGACTCCTGGGGTCCCTGGACCTGGGTTCAGCAACCTGGGTCCTTGCGTTCTGGCTAAGAAAGAATTCAGAGGCAAGACTCAAGATGCAAACTGTACGATAACCTTTATTTATAAAACTAGAGGCCCAGTGCACAAAAATTTGTGCACTCGGGGGGAGGGGGTCCCTCAGCCTGGCCTGTGCCCTCTCACAGTCTGGGACCCCTCGGGGGATAACCACCTGCTGGCTGAGCCCTGCTCCCCAGGGGATTGGGCCTAAGCTGGCAGTCAGACATCCCTCTGGCAGCCCAGGAGCCCTCGGGGGATGCCCACTTGCCAGCGGGGAGCAGGCCTAAGCTTCAGTCAGACATCCTTAGCACTGCTGAGGAGGCGGGAGAGGCTCCCACCACCACCGCTGTACTGGCAGCCATCAGCCTGGCTTGTGGCTCAGCAGAGCTCCCCCTGTAGGAGCGCACTGACCACCAGGGGGCAGCTCCTGCATTGAGCATCTGCCCCCTGGTGGTCAGTGTGTGTCATAGTGACCAGACATTCCCAGTCATTCTACTGTTAGGGTCACTTTGCATATTACCCTTTTATTATATAGGATCACAGAGGCGGAAGAAGTAATTCATAGAAGAAATACGCTTCAGTTATAGAGGCAAAGAAAGGGCCCCTGGAGCTTAGAAGGAAGGAAGGTAAAGGTAATGAGCCTGGCAGCGGGGGGATGGTGAGGTGGAGGGAGAAGGTAGAGGCAATGGCCTGCTCCAGGGAAGGAGAGGCAGTGGGTCCCCTGTCCTGTGGGTTTTAAGGGTAGAGCTTTTAGGGAAGGTCCCAGGAGAAGATCTCAATAGACTGTTCAACAGCTTTCCAGGTGTATCCTTTCGGGGTCAGGGTCTCCACTGATTGATTGCTGGGCGCCGGGGCAGGGAGTCATTATTCAGTGTAGTTGGTCCTGAGGTCCGTGTGGCATTGCTTGTCTGGTTTTGTTGCTTTTCTGAGCTCGGAGCTGAAATACAACTGAGGCCTAGTTATCTCAAGGGAAGAAAGGCCAGGGAGTCTAAACCACATGACCAGTGATATGCTAGGGGGCAATGGTCACCCTGGGAACGAGGTGCCACCCTAGAATTGTCTTTGCTAGGTACCCCCGGCTACCCCCCCCCCCGGGACCTCTGTACCTGCCCCATCGTCCTTGCTCTGCTCATGTGTGTCTAACCACCTACCACAAAAGAACTTAAACTCATTCATTCTTTGCCTCATGGATAGACTGTGCTTTTCAGCCTATACATGTTCTTGCAGCTTCCACTCCTCACTCTGTTTTGCAACATGCCTAGCCTAGAATGTTAACGTAAGAAACATTTAAATAATTTTTTTTGAGTTTATTTGAGCATAGTACTGGAAGTCCTAGCCACAACAATCAGGCCAGAAGAAGAAATAAAAGGCATCCGTGTTGGAAAGGAAGCAGTAAAACTTATTATTTGCAGATGACATGATACTGTATATAGAAAACCCTAAAGATTCCATAAAAAAAACTACTAGAACTTATAAGTAAATTCAGTAAAGTAGCAGGATAAAAAATAAATATCTAGAAATCAATTGCGTTTTTATATACCAATAATGAATTATCAGAAAGGGAAACTAAGAAAACAATTCTATTCACAATTGCTTCAAAAAGAATAAAATACCCAGGGATATATTTAACCAAGGATAGAAAGGACTGGTACTTGGAAAATTATAAGACACTGAAAAAAGAAATTGAAGAAGATACAAATAAGTGAAAGCATATACCATGTTCATAGATAGAATTAACATCATTAAAATGTCCTTACTACTCAAAGCAATCTACAGGTTCAGTGCCATTCCTATCAAAATACCAATGGTGTATTTCACAGAACTAGAACCAAAGTTATATGAAACCACAAAAGATTCCAAATAGTAACAGCGATCTTGAGAAAGAAGAACAAAGTTGGGAGGACTCATGCTACCAGATATATAACTATACTACAAAGCCATAGTAATCAAAACAGTGTGGTACTGGCATAAAAACAGACATATAGATCAGTGAAACAGAATAGAGAGCCCAGAAATAAACCCCATGCCTTTATAGCCACATTAATATTTGACCAAGGAGGGAAAAACATACAATGTGGTAAAGATAGTCTATTCAGTAAATGGTGTTGGGAAAATTGGACAGATGCATGTAAAACAGCAAAACTAGACCACCTTCTTACACCAAACACAAGAATAAACTCAAAATGGACTAAAGACTTGAATGTTAGATTCAAAACCATAAAAATCCTAGGAGAAAACATAGGCAATAAAGTCTTGGATATTTCTTGTAGCAATATTTTTTTCTGATATATTTCCTAGGGCAAGAGAAACAAAAAGGAAAATAAACAAATGGGACTACATTAAACTAAAAAAGTTTTCCACAGCAAAGGAAACCATCAACAAAATGAAAAGACAACCCACTAAATGGGAGAACATATTCGTCAGTACATCTGATTAAAGGTTAATATCTGAACTTTATAAAGAACTTACAAAACTGAACACCAAAAAACCCCCCAAACAATCTAATTTTTAAATGTATAAAGAACCTGAATAGACACTTCTCCAAAGAGGACATGTAGATAGCCAATAGACATATGAAAGGATGCTCAATGTCACTAATCATCGGAGAGATGCAAATTAAAACCACAATGAGATATCATCTCATACCTGTCAGAATGATTATCATCAATAAATAAACAAAGAAGTGTTGGTGAGGATGTGGAAAAGACAACCCTTGTTCACTGTTGGTGAGAATACAGACTGGTGTAGCTACTGTGGAAAGCAGTGTGGAGTTACCTCAAAAAATTAAAAATGGAACTGCTTTATGACCCAGCAATTCCACTTTTGGGAATTTATCTGAAGAAACCTGAAATACTAATTCAAACGAATATATGCACCCATTGTAGCATTATTAACAATAGCCAAAATTTGGAAGCAGCCCAAGTGTCCATCAGTAGATGAGTGGATAAAAAAAGCTGTGGTACATTTACCAATGGTATACTACTCTGCTGTAAAAAGGAAGAAAATTTCTCCTTTTGGGAGAGCGTGGATGGACCTGGAGAACATTATGCTAAGTGAAATAAGCCAGTGAGAGAAAGACAAGTACCATATGATTTCACTCATGTGGAATTTAATGGACATACTGAACTAACAAGCAAAACAAAGACAATCTCATAGATAGAGAGCAGGCAGACAGCTCTGGAGCAGGGGTGGGAGTAAAGGGGTAGTGGAGGGGGAATGGTGGGGAGG